TCTCTCTCTCTCTCTCTCTCTCTCTCTCTCTCTCTCTCTCGCTCGCTCGCTCGTAGTCTGCTGATGCAGTGAAGTCAGATAGCAAGAGGGTGAGAAGGAGATAGTGGACTGAGAAGAGGAAGAAGAACTCTCTCTCTCATGTGCCAGGTACTAACCTGTGAAGATGGCGCTGTGCTGCAGGTACCTCGAAGACGAAGCTGGAGCAATGGCGCTGTAGGTAAGTCCCTCTGGCCTCCGCCCAATCTCTCTCTCTCTAGTACTACTCTAGCTGCTATGGCGCCCAGCGCTGAAGACTACAACTAACGCTACTAGCGCTGAGCGCTGAAGACTACTTCTAACGCTGCTACTACTCTTGCAGCGCTCCTCCAGAGTGCTGCTGCCGAATCCTGAAGACTACCTCCTGCCTCCTGAACTGCACGTGAAGTGCCTGGGAAGTACCTAGGAACTACCTGCCTGCCTGCAGGGCGGGCCAGTCCTATATAGTACTGTTCCGTCCAGGAGGCTGCTCTTGCCAATGCCGAAACGTGCCAGACCCTGGCGTTGAAGCTCAACAAGGGGTTGTCTTGAAAACAGGCCCGAAATGGCCTGTGCTAAAACCCTGGTTTGTTGCCTGAGTTTCAGGGCAGGTCGAACCGATGAGGGCCCGAAAATGGACCTCAGTTTCAGGCTGAAAACACTCAGGGCCGGAAAGGCCCTGATTTAGCCTGAAACGACACAGGGCCTGTAGGCCCTTCTTTTCAGGCTTTCAGGCTGAAACGACACGGGGCCTGTAGGCCCTTGTTTTCAGGCTTTTGGCCTGAAAACGGCCCGGGCCTGGAAATGGCCCGTGCAGCCTGTTGCAGGCGCAGCATGTAACACCCCCCCCCTCCTTATGAAGTCAAGCCGGGCCGAGGGCGAAGCTGACGATGTGAAGGTGGAACCTGGACGCGGGTGCGACGTGGAGCCGAAGATACCGGCTTGCCTTGCATTTTGCATTCGTAGCGTGTGAGAACATCCGGAGCTGTTGCTTGGAGTTCCGCATGGGTCAACCAACGGTCAACTTTGTGAGTGCAGTACGCAAAATGTACCAAGTATTCGGTTGGCCTGTTGCCGTAGCGTCGCTGGGAGATGATGTCCCCGACCTCCTCAAAACCGTCCATGGAGGGTGGGTCTTGCGAACGTCACCCGGGAAGATCGTCATGTTCCGCTGGCGTGTAAAGAGCCAACTTGGAGCAATGAAAGACTGGGTAGACGGGCAAGTGGGCGGACACTTGAATAGTGAAGGAAGGTCCCTCGGGTGCATCCCCAGCGGGTGCCACGATCGGCCAGGGCCCCATCCATTTCGGGAGGAGCTTGCGAGAGATATCTTGTTCCAGGCTGAATTCCGCTGCGGAAACCCAAACGAGATCACCAGCGCGGAATGGGTAAGGAAGGCGCTGGCGATTGGCCTGCTGGCTCATGCGTTGCTGCGTCTTGGCCATCTGGCCGCATGCCTTGACAAGTAGCTCTTGCATCCGACGCAAGAAAAGAAGATGGTCGTCGGTCTCAGTCGTTCGTGGAATGATTGTGTCCAACAGCGAAGTGACCGGCGAGCCGTGCTCGAACTCGAAGGGCGACATCCCGATAGCCGGGTGGATGGACGAGTTGTAGGCCAACTCGACATCCGACATCCGCTCAACCCAATCCTTTTGGTTGGGGCGGATGCGAGTGCGAAGGAGAGCCTGTGCGGTCTGATGCGCCCTCTCCGTTTGGCCATCGGTTTGGGGGTGGCGAGCCGAACTTGGCTTGAGTGATGAGCCCCATCGTTTGATGAGCGCCAACCAAAAATCGGATATGAACCGAGTGTCGCGGTCGCAGACAATTTCCTTGGGGTAACCCTTGGTTTGAATCCAACCTGCGCAAAGAACCTCGGACAACTCTGGTGCCTTGGCATGATAGCGGCAAGGCAAAAACATGGCGAACTTAGTGAGTCGGTCGACCACCGTGAGAATCCCATCCACGCCGGTCTTGTGCTTTGGGAATGGGCCGGTAATGTCCATGGCAATCGCTTCCCTTCGCTACAAGGGGACCGGTAATGGTCGCAACTTGCCGTATGGACGATGGTTGCGGGATTTGCAGCGTCGGCAAACCTCGCATGACTCGCAATAGCAGGTGACGTCGCCGAGAAGGCCGGGCCAACAAAATCGCTCACGAAGTCAACCAATCGTGCGATTCACTCCAAAGTGTCCGGTGTTGGGAGCATCGTGGAACTCGCCAAGAAGCCGTGTACGCAAGTGAGGGTCACTCGGTACGCAAAGAAGGTCCTTCCCCAGTGTGTGGACAAGCAAGTACCCCTCTTCGATCCGGTAGTGAGAAGGCGCCGGATTAGGAAAGGAGCAATTCGCGTACTTGTCGCGAAACTCGGGGTTGGCTTGGTAGCCACGGATGAAGCTGCCCCGCAGGTCGTTGTCGATCTCTAAGGTTGAATAGACCGCGGTACAATGATCCAGACGCCATGAAAGAGCATCCGCAAAACGGTTAGACTTCCCCGGAATGTAATTGGGAAAGAAGTCGAACTGGTCGATGAAAACCATCCATCGAGCGATGGTGCTGTTGATGGTGTCTTGGGTCTTGTAAAAGACCAACGGATTGTTGTCCATTACCCATTGGAATTGGCGTCAACCAAGGAGGAAGTGCCGCCACCGATTGAGCGCGTGGACGAAGGCGAGGAGCTCCTTCTTGCGTGCATCGTCAATGGAGTGCACGACGGGCACTTTCTTGCTGACATACTCGATCGGGTGCCAGTCCACGCCATCGTGTTGCTCAAGGACGACACCAATGCCATAGCCGGACACAACCGTAGTGACGTGCGTAGGCAAAAGCGGGTCGTATATACGCAAGACCTCTGCAGATAATAGCGCAGTTTTGAGAGCCAAAAATGATTCCCGCACATCCTCACCGAAGTCAAACTGCCGATCCTCGCACAAAAGCTTGGTCAAGTGGGCCGTAATCTTCGAGTAGCCCTTGATAAAACGCTGGTAGTAGCCAGCGAGGCCAAGGAACGAACGGACATCCGTGACGTTCCGTGGCTCCGGCCACTCTTGGACGGCTTGAATCTTGTCCGATAGTGGACTGATGCCCTCCGGTGTGACAAAATGGCCCCAAGTATTCCAGCTCTTGCCGGACTAATTCGCACTTGTCGAGGTTGGCCTTGTACTTGGCACGGCGAAGCGTCTCCAACACTCGTCGAAGGTGCTCAAGATGATCCTCCAATGACCGGCTATAGACGAGAATATCGTTTAAGCAGACCAGCAGGAACTGGTCCAACATTGCACGGAACTCCTTGGTCATTGCCGCTTGAAAGGTCGTCGGGGTGTTGGTGAGGCCAAAAGGCATGACCACCCACTCAAAATGCCCATACCGCTTGTAACGATCGTTCGGTCGGATCGAGATTTTATGATATCCCGACTTCAAATCCAACTTAGAAAAATACTTCGTGCCGCCCAGTCGCTCAAGAAGATCGTCGATGCGAGGAAGAGGTCCCGCATTCTTGACCGTTTGCGCATTGAGTTTGCAATAGTCGATGCACAATCGTAGATCTTTGTTCTTCTTCCGTACGAAGAGAATTGGCGCTCCGTATGGAGAGCTACTAGGGCGGATCCAGCCCTTGTCCAACAAATCATCGAGTTGTGCATGGAGGACCGTAAGCTTCTCCTCGCTCATGCGATAAATGCAACCTTTCGACGACACGACACCGGCCTCAAGAATGATTTCGTGAGAGATCGACCGATCCAGCACCACACCGGTAGGTGACTCGAAAATGTCGGCGAACTCGTCAAGCAACCACACCACATGGGGGTTCGAAGACAAGTCCGTGGGTGAAGAGTCGGCTACCGCGAAGGTCCATAGGAAACATAGGCCGATTTCGTCGGGCTGCTCGTAAGCACAAGTAGCCCGGAATGACTTGGCTGTCACCACTTGGCACCGAATCGAAGGGTGCGGAAGAGGAATAGTACACAACACTTCGGTGCCGAAGGCATCGCGAACGGTAAGAGTCTGTCGGTGGAAGTTGACCGTGTGATCCGCACTTGCAAGCCAAGGCATTCCCAAAATAATGTCGAATTCCGTGTCGAAAATGTCGAATGTCACCAGTTCGCATGCATGAGGTGCGAAATACACCGCCATGGCCTCGACGTAGCGGTCGATAAGTTGCTGCGTCTTTTCGTTCGCCAACTTCACCGCTGTCGGGTTTGCCTTCCTTCGAACTTGTGCACCAAGGCCAGCCTTTTGCATAAAGGCTTGGCTCATAAAATTGCGAGATGCGCCGCTATCCAGCAAAGCGCTGCAGGACGCTTGCCCAACTTGGATGCGGACATAGAGGAGTGGTGCATTGTTATCGTCGTAGCGCTGATTGTGAAACTCTCGGGCCACCTTGGTAACATACCCAAGGATGTCCCCCACCGCGACTTCGTCATCCGTCGGTGAAGTTGGTGGTGCATAGAAGGATAAGTACGTGTGAAGATGAGCGCATAGTGTTGCGCATTGCAGTCCTGGCAAGCGGTCCGTGGTCGGGAGAGGAAGCCATGCGAAATCCTCGGACGTGAGCGGGTCCAATACCTCTATGTTGAATGCGCGCGCCGAATCCCATGAAGAACCACTTGAAGACGATAAGTCGCCGCTGTCGGACGGAGAAGATGCCGCACACACGTCTTGTCCTTGAGCATGAGTACCCAGCGTAGGAACGAGCCGGGCAGCATAGTCCTCAAAAGAATATAGAAGAGGAGGACTATAGACTTTCGCATGTGCCTCGGAATGAAGGGCGGTCACCCGCGAAGTGACCAGTTTCGAAGGCGTCGAGAATGTCGTCGAGTCATTCCCGACGGTCCTCAGTTTCCCGATTTGCCCTTGCCTTACGACTGGCAGGCCATTGTGTCGTGGAGATCGTTGTTACACCACCGACAATAGCGGAATCTCGTGCGTGCCTTGAATGCTTGCTCGGAGAGACCGTAATAGGACCATCGGGCTGGAGCTGCTGCGCCGGGCCCGGGGCTAGATGCGGTGTTTGTCTTCGCCTTGCCCCGTCCTCGGCCTTTGCCGGGGCGGCCACCTTCCCGGGCGGCTGCGAGCCTGTCCCCTTCATTGGCAGATACGGCCTCGCTAGTTTGGTCGTTTGGCGTTGCCGCTGCGGCCACGACCACTTTCGGCCGATGCTGATCTCTGCTCAAGCCTGGCGCAGACGAACACTGGAGATGATTGGCCTCCTTGTTCGTGACAATAATCTGTGCCGCCTTGTCGAAGAGTTCTGTTAGTGTCGCCAGGGTGTCCTCGACGTGAGTCAAGGCATTGCCCAACGTCGGACACGACCTCGAGATAAAGTAGTGTTTGATGGCTTTGAAGCCCATTTGAATGTCTGGGACGAATGTCAAGCGTTGGTACTGGGCAATCCAATCAACACCCGACAGCGTGCCTTGTTCAAAGACCATCAACTTGTCCATTGCCTTGATCTCCGGCGGCTCTACTTGGAACCGCTTATGCCACGCCGCCTTTAGATCATCCCAGCTGATCTTGGTATGCAAGTTGGCAACTACCACTCCGTACTTGGACAAGAGATTGTCCAACCATGCTTGGCACGCGCCCCCCGAGCGGGAGTATAAGTACCCGTGGTGCTTGTGTTCTTTGACGTAGTGTAGCTGTAACGTGAGCTCCAACTTGAGGAACCATGAAATCGGATCTGTCTTCGCCGAGTCGCACAAGATCTCCTGCCCATCGAACTTTGGAGCTGTCTCGCGCGGTTCCGAGCTCGAGTGGTTGGTGGCAGCACAGATCCGCTGCTCCAACTGTTGCGTTGCGGTTTGCTGTAACTGCACGCCGTTCTCGAGGGAGCTGACGTCAATCTCCAATGCCTCGAGGCGATTGCAGGTGTTGGAAGAGCTGACATCGGGGGCGACGACAGGTTGCTGCTCCAGCTGCCGGAGGCGGCCGCGGACTTGAGTCAACGTGTCGTCGAGGCTGTGGATGTCCTCCTGCTGTGTAATGCATGTTGCCAGGAGGTCCGTGAGATGGGAGAGGAGTAGAGCGATCTTGTTTTCACTGTCTTCCATCTTGCCATTCCCGACCTCGGCCCGCCAATCCACTGCCATTGTGAGCAAAGCTTGCTCTCCGCTGAATATCTTCTCTCGACGTTGGACTCGTTCTTCATCAGCAGCCTTTGCTGCTGCCTCGTCATGTTGGTGCTGCTGTTAAACTGCCAACAGACATGCCTTCTCGGCGTCCTCTACCTTCTGCTTTGTTGCGGCTGCTACTGCATCCGACCGTTGCTTAGCTTCGGTAATCAGAAGCAGCATTCGGGCCTGATAGGCCTCGCCCGTTTCCCCGGACTTCTGGTCCACGACGGCTGTTTGCGAGCGCGTGAGCATAGACCAGGCTGGGGGCCTGCTGACGTGGTACTCCCTGCTGCTCACGTAGCACTGCTGTCGGCTGACGTGGCCTGCTGACGTGGTTTGCTAACGTGGTCCGCTGACGTGGCAACTCACCAATGCTGCCGCAGGGGGTACCCGGAGACAGATAGAGAAGGTAAGACCAGAGGGGGCAACAACATAGGTGGGGAGGGGTGGGCGGGATAAATCGCCAGATAAGGACCCACTAATAAAAAAATAAAAAAAGTTTAAACTTTGCAAAAAACAAATTCAAGAAAAAAAAAATCCCGAGTTTTGCGAGTTCAGTAGGTCTCCCAACCTCCCTTGAAGTGTGAAATTATCAATGAGAAAAAAATTTTCGAACTTCAGACTGCCAATGATTATAAGTTAGTGAAAATCATAGAACTGCGAATAAAAAAAATTCCGAAAAGAAATAACAAGTATTCGGACTTACTCAGATGAGAGTATTCGCAGTTTGGAAAATGGTACTCCAAGAGGGATTGCCCGTACCGTTTTCAGAGAAACGAATTTCAAAAAATATTCTGAATTTCCAAATAATAGGAAATTGCAAAAGGAGATCGAAATTTTCGAGAAAAAGATATTCCGGATTTCCAACAACGAAATTTCGGATTTTCAGAAGAAAAACGAAAACGAGAATTTCAAATGTTGCGCTATTGCAATTTTCCACAACAGAAATAGCGAGAAAACGAAATCCAAGAAAAGAAAAAAGAAAATCGATTTTCGGCAGTGAGGTCAAAATCGTGATTTTGGGGGCTAACTAGTGTGCTCTAATCAATCAATCAAGACTAATCAGCTATCTAGTCCTCGCACATGTGTCAGATCAGGTTGTCCTGATTCACGTGTGGTGTTCAGATACCAATTGTTACATGCCCAGTTGGGCGATGTACACATAAACCGAGGATCCGCAATGTGCGAGGATATGGGTCCTCGGCAGGCCTAAGGGGCCCCCTTGCAGCAAATGTGCCCGCCCTAAGTGAAGGCGGGCCTAACAAATCACGAGAGGCCCTTGGCTATCAATTTCGCATTTGGGGTCCAGGCAGTTTCGTCGCGCCAGTTGGTTGAAGGGAAACACAGGCCAAGCAGCGTGGAAATTCCCAGGCCTTCTAGGCCTTTCCGAAAGCACAGGCCCTGGGTGAGATTCGCAGCCTCATACACAGACAGTTGGGAGGCACAACCGAACGAGGCCCAGTAGCTGCACCAGAGGCGCAGCCTCCTGAGGCCTACCGGAAGCTTCTGGGCCCAGGCCAATCCAGCCAGGCTGCCGAATGAGGCAGGCTCTTTCCATATAGGAAAGAGCTCGTTGTCTGGCCAGGCATTCGGGCACTCGCATGCTGGCGGCAGCGCTACTGGAGCTCGAGCTCGTGGGCTGCTGCTAGCGCTGAGCGGCGAGATACAGGCACGTGCGGTCGTGCAGGGAGCAGGGCGCTGCTGAGGGCAGCGCCATAGCCCAACCTCCATAGCTGGCAGGGCTTGGATGTACAGTGAGGCNCAGGCACGTGCGGTCGTGCAGGGAGCAGGGCGCTGCTGAGGGCAGCGCCATAGCCCAACCTCCATAGCTGGCAGGGCTTGGATGTACAGTGAGGCGCAGGGGTGGTCTTCGGGTGTACAACAAAGGAAGACGTGGGAGAGAGTCAAGGGAGAGAGAGAAGGATGATGATGATGATGATGTGAGGGCACATACCTGGTATTGGCGATGGTTCTGCATGGGCGACATCTTCAAGTACTTCGGGTGCTGTTGACGTCAACGGTTGCATTGTCAATTAGTAGGCTAGTAGTAGCTGTGTAGGGAGTAGGCTGGGCATCGAGGGCCAAGTAGGGAGATAGAGAATGGATACATACGTTGGTGGTGGCAAGAGCAAGCTCTCATTGACATTGACTTTCAGTGCTACGATTCTCCATTGGTGTTATATTGGTGCAATGCTGCTTTATGAACATTTTGTTACGATTTGGCTTTCAATGTGATTGTGCAATCTGAATATTGCCATCTCGCTTCTGTTCATTTTCCTTGCAATTTGGTATTGGAGCTGGTTCGAACTGCGCTCATTGGTTCTTCGCACTAGCTGTTTGGTGCTTCACATGAGGTGTGGGGCAGTGATAAGGCTTGGGCGTTGAACGTAAGGTGGCCCAGGGTCGTGTGGGCGCGCCAGGAAGCTATGTGGTGACATTAGGGCTGTACGCTGGATGATGAGAGCTCGCTGATGTGGCATTTAAGCCGAGGTGGAACTGCATTCTGCTGTTGGTTGTGCCGAGGCAAAGACCGGTCATCATAAATGCACATCAAGTTGCCGGTGAGAAATCTGTGGTTGGGGGCAGCATTATGAGGTACGTTGCTTCCTTCCTTATCTACCCTCTTCATTGCTTCGTACTGTGAGGAAGTGAGTCTTGTCTTGAGAGTCCTCTCAATGTGAGGTGTAGCGAGCGCTCAACCTTGAGAGTCGACATTCTTCCTGGGCAGCAAGCTCGTGGGAGACGGGCCCTCTGAAGGGCCCTGGACGAAGCACTCGGGTCACAGTCACCATGCCAGCCCGCTGGGACTAGCACACGCATGCTTTGCCGCAAGTCCTTGGTACTGCTGCTGCGCAATAGAAGTCATACAAGGCATGTCAGCCCTTTGAACAAACGCTTACCAAACCGTCTCTACATATTTCTGGCGGGGACTCGGTGTTGATTATGGCTGTGATCGGCGTCCTGTCTGCGACGTTAAATAATTCCTGAGGAGTTACGGGGGATCTCCTTAAATGCCTCCTGATCAGCCAGATCAAACCGGGTGTAAGGCTCGCTGCATGCGAGGATAAATAATGTGCAGAGGCTGGCAGGCTCGGTGTTGACTTGGGGCACAGGGATCGGCCAGATTGCACACCTTTAGACACGCTGCTCAACCAGATGCCTAGGAACGTCGACACAAAGTGACTACTCAAGAGGGATACAGGGAAAGGGTTGGATTCTAGTAACTGCTCGTGGTGGCATTAATTAGATAAACTGCCATCCAGCATACATCTCTGCACGGAGCATTATTTTTATTTTTGATTTTTGAGTTGTTACGAACTTGACAAACAACTGACAGACAGCTGCAGATAGAGTAGAATATTATTTGCTGCATTGCAATCTGTATTAGAGTAATCTAAAAATAAACTTAATATTCCCTGTAGGATCTGACACTGGGTGACACCTAACCGCCTTACTGTTTCTGTCCAAGCCGGCTGAAGGTAATTCTGTATCATAATCGGTTGTGTGTCATGCTGAGGTAGGATTCAGTGTGAATTCTAGTTTAGATCACACACACTGTAGCTCATGAGTGATGCAAGCACTAGTGAGGAGGAGTTGTTAGTGGATGACCGTAGGACTACTCGTAGTACTGCTCTCAGTCGACCTTTGACTTTCCTAGAGTTAGGTCCAGGAGACGAGAGGAGACTGCGGAGAGAGGCTAGAGAGAGAACAACAACAAGAAGAGCGAGGGTGGCTGAGGATAGTGCCAGGTCTAGGATTTCAGCTAGCACCGGTACGACCATGGCTACTTCCTCTACCATGTCGCAGGCCTCTTCACAGGCCACTTCGTCGGGAGTTAGTCAGAGTGGTTCTTGGGTTTCCATTAGCCAGAGTGCTGGCTTGCAAGTCAGCCAGCAGGCTCAACTCACGCCGGAGGATTATGGGATCCTCCAAGCGGAAGAACTTCCAGATGAGCTACAACGACAATTGGATGAGGCAGCAAAGAGAAGAAGAAAAACAATTATGAGAAAAGCTAGACTAGGTAGTAGATTGCAGGAGCTAAGCAGATTAGAATCATTAGATGAGTCAACACTTGACCCTGCGATGCGAGCGCTGCGTAACTCGCTCCTTTGTGTGGCGGAGACGCATGTAGTTCAGCAGGAGGTGTTGGTTGAACTAGTGGCAGGCCAGAAACGAATTTTGGTTGCACTATAGGCTCCTCGTCCAGTAATGAGGCAGCCTCAGTTTACTGTAGCTCCCCCTTCGGGTGCGGGTCCATTAGTGACGCCATCGCCGGTAGGGCCTTCATTCTCACCTATGTTTGGCATGCCCCCTCCAGGTGGTTATGTGGCGACTAGTGGTCCGGTCCTTAGAGTCTCTGTCGTACCATCGACGACAGTGGTAACTACAGTCCCACTGTCAAGCCAGGCACAGGTTAGTGTGCAGCAACCTGTTTCGGTGGCTATGCAGCCACTGCAACAAACCTCTGGGCCAATGCAGCCCTATGCAGTGGATGCCCAAAATACCCTTGCTGAATCCTAAGCCCTTCTCCGGCGACAGGAAGAAGGATGAGGACTTGGACACCTCGGTAAGGACGGTGCCTACCTACGTGAGGCACAAGCTTACCAGGCCGGAGCAAGAAGTTGTAGTAGCTGCCTCCTTTCTAGAGGGGTCAACAACCTGCTGGTTGAATGGCCTAGTGTAGCTGCAGGGCTACGGTCAGAACTTCGATGCCTAGGCCCAAGCCCAGACATTGGAAGAGTTCGTACGGTCCATGTATAATAGGTGGCATGACCCACAAGGAGCCCAAAAGGCCACATATGCGAGCACTTGAAAATAGTGCTAGGTCTCCTAAGACAGAACCAGTACAAGGTTAACCTGGGTCGCGCCAAGATCTTGTACTTGGGTCATCAAATCTCAGCAGATGGATTGAGGCCGGATGATGCTAAGGTGGCCAGCATACGTGACTGGCCCAGACCTCAGACTGTTACTGAGGTCAGATCGTTTTTGGGGATGACGGGCTACTATCATCCGTTTGTAAAGAACTATAGTACTATAGCTTCCCCATCAACAGATCTAACTCGAATGGATACCCCGTGGGAGTGGACTGAAGATTGTGAGGCGGCCTTCAGGAAACTGAAGTATGCTCTGACCCATTATGAGGTTCT